AGCAGTGTTGTGAAGTTTCCGGATATGTCTGTGATCGAAGAGCATGCCAACTGGTCTGTGTCCCGCGAGGCAGGATTTAGTTACTCCCACGCAGGACTGGTAAGGGCTCGCTGAGTTTAAGTATTCATCACAAAGTGTGGGTTCAGACGTAGATGCCACGGGGACAAGGACCACGTCGTAGCGGTCCTCGCGTGGGCATGGTGAGCTCCGGGAGAGAATCGCAATGGAGTAAAATGGTCTGGATGCCTTCATGTGAGCCATTACAAAGAGCCGAAGAGGAGACTAGCAGATGGCATAATGGTTACATCTCTGGGCTCCCTTGTAGTTGACCACGGTTCAAGTCCCAGACCTGGCAGTTTAAACTCAGGCCAGGTGCATGTGCATGTGTGCCCAAAATCTGGAGAGGAGAACAGAGGAGAATAGACTGCGGCATGGCCATCCCCCCAGGGAGTGATTTCTCACTTTCTGTCTGTCTCTCTCTACCTCTCCTGCCGAAAAATCTCTCTAAAAAAAAATAGCTGTAAAGGGGACCAGCAGATTGTGTAGCAGTTAGGTCTCTGGACTCCCACATGGCTGATCGTTTCGAGTCCCAGACCCAGTGACTTGAAACTCACAGCAGGCACGTGTACACATGTGCCCAAGATCCGAGGGGAATGGCCGAGAAGGGACTGCGATGTGGCCATCCTCCAAAGGGGGTGATTTCTCACTTTCCCTCTCACTGTCTCTGTCTCTGGCAAGCATATGCACCCTGAGGCACAAACCTGCCCCCAGGTCAAAAAGGGTAAAATGGGCCAGCAGGTGGCACGGTGGCTAAGGCACTGGCCTCCCACGTGGTTAAGTGCGGTTTGAGTCCCAGACCCAGTGACTTGAAAACACACTGGCTACATGTTGCATGCGTGCCCGAAATACGGAGAGGACAGTGGGAAGAAGGGGATTGCAGCGTGGCCGTCACCCATAGGGGCGGTTTCTCCCTCTCTTCCTTCATCTCTCCAGCTCTATCGCCCCATGGCAGAAACCTAAAATAAAAAGGACTGAAATGGCCATTTTGAGGGTTCTGTGATTGTTTTGTGTGGTAGGATAATATACAATTGCAATTGTTCACTCTAAATTTAATATGTCTACATTTAAAAGGAATAAACATAGAACTTGGTATTATATAAAAGTTACGTCGTTTTCTTTTCAGTTTCCTAATACTCAGTGTACGCTGTTGTAACAGGATGTTTCTTTCCCTTTATTTATTTCTTATTTTAAAATTCAAAAGTTGTTTAAGGATTATAAGAATGCTTTCAGGCTAGGAATGTCAAAGTTTACATTATTTTTATTTTGCTGATTCTTACTATACGAGAAGCATTAGCAGATTAGTTCATAGAATACGAGGAAGGGCCTTCGTCAGGAAATGAGCTAAGTATTCCCCATCAGTCTTTTCCTTGATGAACTCGGACCGTTACTGCTCTGCCTGTGGCTGGTGGTGATATTAACCAAGTTAATTACTGAATCTGTTCCATATATATTGTGTCTTAAATGGATCCTTCCCTGTCTCTGAAGATAAAGTCTCACAGGAAGAATAAATCGTTTACAACAGCTAATAAATAATGTAAAGTTTATTTAACTCGAATTTGCTCTTTTTGTAGATCACTCATGAGTCTGGGGGTGAAATTGGCAAAGAATACTATATAAAATATCACTTTATGTTACAGAGTAACAGACTTGCTAGAGACAATGAGTTAAGAGAAAATGACAAAGAACAGCTCCGAGCCATCTGTACCCGAGACCCCCTCTCTGAAATTACGGAGCAAGAGAAAGATTTCCTGTGGAGCCACAGGTGAGCGCAGAGCCTCGGGCCTCCCTGACTTCGCGGGAGAGGGCCTGCTGCCCTGGCCTGCCTGTTCCCCTGTCCCTGGCCAGGGTGGGTAAGACGCCATTGACCCGACTTTCAAATGATAAACGTTGCCTCTTACAGCATTAGGGGTAGGTCAGCATTTCCGGAAAGTCACTGCCTTGTGCGTACTTTGCAGTGAGCTTTTCTAAAATTCTAAATCCCTGATACAATTTTTTTCAGGATTTTTTTAAAAATTCTAAATCTCTGAGATGATTTTTTTTTAGAATTTTTAAAGTAAAATTCAAGATTAAAAAAATGCCCTGTGGCTTTGATCAAAGTGTGAGTCAGCTGGTCCAGATGCTGCGTTTTCACTGTCCCACGCACTTGCACAGTCGTTTTGCACTCAGGAAGGTGCTGCCCTTGATAAACGGCACGAGTATGTTTAAATAAGCAGCTGAGGCACATTTCTGCAGGAGTCTTTCCAAACGCAAGCCGTGCGGTCAGTGTGGCGGGGCCGTGGCTGGTCCGTGTCACCAGAGTCGGGCTCGGCCCAGCAGTCTGTCCGCCCTGAGCCCTGGAGCATCGCAGCTTCAGCGCCGCCCCCGCCCCGACCTCCCTTCTGCCCTCTGCCTTGCAGCTGTGTGAGTGTGAGTGTGTCTGTGCACAGACATCGGGCAGGAGGGTTAAGCGGGTATCATCTGAGTTTCAAAAGGGGCTAGTAAAGGTGAAAAGAAAATGTTTGGAACTTCTTAATGATTGCAGCATCGAAGAGTTAGACGTCCAGGCCTTTTGAGTAACACGCAAGAATGTTTTTTATTTTGTTTTGTCTTTCTCACACAGACACTATTGTGTAACTATCCCTGAAATTCTACCCAAATTGCTTCTGTCTGTTAAATGGAACTCTAGAGATGAAGTAGCCCAGGTAAATGCATGTTCCGGATTACTGAATAACTGCTGTGCAAAATTGGTATGTCACTCCAGTCGTTTCCTCTCAGAAAGTCTGCACCAATCTGAGATACAGGAGAGGCTGTGTTAAACTAGTTACTGATGGTAGGGTAGTGGAGAGGAACCCCACCCATTCCCACAGGTAAGCTAACTCAGCGCTGAGAACCTTAGGCAGATCTTTAGCATGCCTGTTACCGACTTTTCCGCTCGGCAGTGAGGACAGGGTACTCACGGCTGCCTCTCCGTTTCCGGTGCCCGCCGGCTCTCCCGTGCACAGATGTACTGCCTGGTCAAGGACTGGCCTCCCATCAGGCCGGAGCAGGCGATGGAGCTTCTGGACTGTAACTACCCAGACCCCATGGTTCGAGGCTTTGCTGTTCGATGCTTGGAAAAATATTTAACAGATGACAAACTGTCTCAGTACCTGATTCAGCTGGTGCAGGTAAAACAGAGTAACAAAAAGTCATGTTTTATTTCAGTCCAACAACTTCCAAAATCTACTACATTACCTTGCTTTATTTTGAAAAAATCCCGTTTTACGGGCCAGTGGGTGGCATGGTGGTAAGGTGCTGGACACCCTCAGGGCCGAGCACTGTGTAGTCCTGAACCTGGCACTGGCTTTCCTTCTCCCCTCTCGGTCTCTGTCTCTGGTGCGCATATATCCCCTATAGTGAGGGGAAAACATAATAATATTACATTAAATTAATAATTCTCTTTTTAAAAAGTTTTATGACCAATGTTCTGTCTGAAAATTTTTCTTTATATGCAGAAACTATCCCTGGTTTATTTGCTTATTTTTTAATTCCCTAGGTTCTAAAATATGAACAATATTTGGATAACTTGCTTGTGAGATTTTTACTCAAAAAAGCATTGACTAATCAAAGGATTGGGCACTTTTTCTTTTGGCATTTAAAGTTAGTAGTTATTATCATATTATTTAGATTATAATATTGTTTTATTTCTTAATAGACATATAAATATATATTGCTTTCAGACTTTCATTTTTGTTCAGCTATAAGAGTTTCCGTTACTGGAAGTATATTGTACCAGTGATAAGCTTCCCCTCAATGTTTTCTCTTTGAAATTAAATGCGCAGTAAAGTCTGACACTGAATTTTATACATGAATGAGAGCTGAAGTATTTTTTAAAGATTTTGGTTTGGGGGCCAGCAGGTGGCATGGTGGTTAAGACACTGGACACTTCCACATAGCCAACCACAGTTCCAGCCTGGACCTGGTGGCTTGTTTTCTCACTTTCCTTCTCTCTCTGTGTCTGTCTTTCCAGTCAAATGAAAGTAAATGAATGAATAATAAAAGTAAATAAATAATTTTTTTAAAAGATTTTGGTTCTATTTTAAGCAAAGTATTAAGCAAAGTAAAATTAGCTAAGTCCAGGTTAACATTGAAGCTTTCACTGTGTGTGGAATTAAAATATTCCAAAATGAAAAAAAATGTTACCTTGAAATTCAGAACAATAATGATAAAAATCTCATGTTTCCCCTAGAAAACAAGCTAGCTGAGAGTACAAACAGGGCCAGCCCTGTAGCCTAGTAGTTAAGGGAATCAGATCCCACATGGTTTAAATTCAGCCCCCCTCCCCCGAAATACACCAGGCACGTGTGAGATCACAGCCAGGATGGGACAGGAAGTAGAAGTGGAGGGACTGCAGCGTGGCCACTCCCAGAGGTGTGCTTCTCCTTCTCTGTTTCTGCCACCGTCTCTAGTGAGTGCATTACACCCTCTGGGAAGTTAGAAGAAGAAAGGTCACTTAACAGACTATGATATGTCTAGTACTCAGAGTTAGAAGTCAGAATCGTGTATGCTTTTATGAATTTAGAAACTGATTGTGTCTGTTTTTCTTTTCTTTTCTTTTTTTTTGAGAGGTTTTCACTATAGGGCATGTACACTCGCCAGAAAGACAGAGAGAGTCAGAGAGACAGAAAGTGAGAAATCACCCCCCAGGGGGGATGGCCACTCCGCAATCTCTTCTCCTTCATTCTCCTCTCGGGATCTTGGGCACACACGCACATGTGCCCAGCGTGAGTTTAAGCCACCAGGTCCAGGACGTGAACCGCGGTCGACTACATGGGAGTTCAGCAACATAGCCATTGCGCTAACTTCTGGTCCCTGTGTGTGTTTTTCTTTAATGTTGAAATGAAAACTGGACGTCAGCACCATAGGACAGTGGTTGAGTGCTGGGGGGGGGGCTGGGTCCCCATGGTTGGGGACACTGGACAGCTGTGCATTCAGGCCCCAGGTCTTGACAGGAGAAGAAATGGAGGGCATAGAATTGCAGTGTGCCCACACCCCCGGGGCGTCCTCTCTCTCACTCCTCCGCCCTCTTTCTGGTGAGCGCACACACCCTATGACAATAAAAACAATTTTTTTAATTAAGAAAAAAAGATGGGACGTCGAGGCTAGGTTTACAGCGAGCCTAGAGACGGTCAGGAAGAGTGCTGTGCCTAAGACGCCCCCCGCCCACTGTATTTCTGTGTCCCACCCCCTTTTTCATGTCTTGTGTCTTGTGCTGAGATTAGCAAAGGAGCAGTTGAAATAAAGCTGAGAGCTAGTTATCGATTAAATTCGTGTGTAGGAGCTTCTAACGATAGACTTTGAAACATTTACTTTAGTATGATTGTAACATTGTTTAGATTTACAAAATAAGGTTTTACATCTTCTTTAAAAAGTGAGAGATGTACTCACTTAAAACCATACGTATTGTTTTAATTTTTATCTCGCACTGTTCTCTTAGATCCGAGATGCACAACAAAACGGTGAGCCAGAGGTTCGGCCTGCTCTTGGAGTCCTATTGCCGAGCGTGTGGGATGTACCTGAAGCACCTGAACAGGCAGGTCGAGGCCATGGAGAAGCTCATCAACCTGACGGACATTCTGAAACAGGAGAAGAAGGACGAGACGCAGAAGGTGCGTGGCCGCTGCGGGTGAGGCCCTTGTCAGTGCCCGGGCAGTGCCAGTCAGGAGCCTGGCGTGCACACAGGTCGCCTTGGAAGCAGCAGCTGAGGGTGGACCTGAGCCCCACTCCCAGCCGTAGCCTTAGCAGCACTCGGGCTCTTAGAGTCATCCTTCTGGTCCCCGGAACAGGAGCCGTGTTCTCCTGAGGGGCTGCTGGGAGTGGAACTGCGGACTCGGCGCAAGACCCTATATTGCTTTCAGACTTTCATTTTTGTTCAGCTATAAGAGTTTCCGTTACTGGAAGTATATTGTACCAGTGATAAGCTTCCCCTCAATGTTTTCTCTTTGAAATTAAATGCGCAGTAAAGTCTGACACTGAATTTTATACATGAATGAGAGCTGAAGTATTTTTTAAAGATTTTGGTTTGGGGGCCAGCAGGTGGCATGGTGGTTAAGACACTGGACACTTCCACATAGCCAACCACAGTTCCAGCCTGGACCTGGTGGCTTGTTTTCTCACTTTCCTTCTCTCTCTGTGTCTGTCTTTCCAGTCAAATGAAAGTAAATGAATGAATAATAAAAGTAAATAAATAATTTTTTTAAAAGATTTTGGTTCTATTTTAAGCAAAGTATTAAGCAAAGTAAAATTAGCTAAGTCCAGGTTAACATTGAAGCTTTCACTGTGTGTGGAATTAAAATATTCCAAAATGAAAAAAAATGTTACCTTGAAATTCAGAACAATAATGATAAAAATCTCATGTTTCCCCTAGAAAACAAGCTAGCTGAGAGTACAAACAGGGCCAGCCCTGTAGCCTAGTAGTTAAGGGAATCAGATCCCACATGGTTTAAATTCAGCCCCCCTCCCCCGAAATACACCAGGCACGTGTGAGATCACAGCCAGGATGGGACAGGAAGTAGAAGTGGAGGGACTGCAGCGTGGCCCCTCCCAGAGGTGTGCTTCTCCTTCTCTGTTTCTGCCACCGTCTCTAGTGAGTGCATTACACCCTCTGGGAAGTTAGAAGAAGAAAGGTCACTTAACAGACTATGATATGTCTAGTACTCAGAGTTAGAAGTCAGAATCGTGTATGCTTTTATGAATTTAGAAACTGATTGTGTCTGTTTTTCTTTTCTTTTCTTTTTTTTTGAGAGGTTTTCACTATAGGGCATGTACACTCGCCAGAAAGACAGAGAGAGTCAGAGAGACAGAAAGTGAGAAATCACCCCCCAGGGGGGATGGCCACTCCGCAATCTCTTCTCCTTCATTCTCCTCTCGGGATCTTGGGCACACACGCACATGTGCCCAGCGTGAGTTTAAGCCACCAGGTCCAGGACGTGAACCGCGGTCGACTACATGGGAGTTCAGCAACATAGCCATTGCGCTAACTTCTGGTCCCTGTGTGTGTTTTTCTTTAATGTTGAAATGAAAACTGGACGTCAGCACCATAGGACAGTGGTTGAGTGCTGGGGGGGGGGCTGGGTCCCCATGGTTGGGGACACTGGACAGCTGTGCATTCAGGCCCCAGGTCTTGACAGGAGAAGAAATGGAGGGCATAGAATTGCAGTGTGCCCACACCCCCGGGGCGTCCTCTCTCTCACTCCTCCGCCCTCTTTCTGGTGAGCGCACACACCCTATGACAATAAAAACAATTTTTTTAATTAAGAAAAAAAGATGGGACGTCGAGGCTAGGTTTACAGCGAGCCTAGAGACGGTCAGGAAGAGTGCTGTGCCTAAGACGCCCCCCGCCCACTGTATTTCTGTGTCCCACCCCCTTTTTCATGTCTTGTGTCTTGTGCTGAGATTAGCAAAGGAGCAGTTGAAATAAAGCTGAGAGCTAGTTATCGATTAAATTCGTGTGTAGGAGCTTCTAACGATAGACTTTGAAACATTTACTTTAGTATGATTGTAACATTGTTTAGATTTACAAAATAAGGTTTTACATCTTCTTTAAAAAGTGAGAGATGTACTCACTTAAAACCATACGTATTGTTTTAATTTTTATCTCGCACTGTTCTCTTAGATCCGAGATGCACAACAAAACGGTGAGCCAGAGGTTCGGCCTGCTCTTGGAGTCCTATTGCCGAGCGTGTGGGATGTACCTGAAGCACCTGAACAGGCAGGTCGAGGCCATGGAGAAGCTCATCAACCTGACGGACATTCTGAAACAGGAGAAGAAGGACGAGACGCAGAAGGTGCGTGGCCGCTGCGGGTGAGGCCCTTGTCAGTGCCCGGGCAGTGCCAGTCAGGAGCCTGGCGTGCACACAGGTCGCCTTGGAAGCAGCAGCTGAGGGTGGACCTGAGCCCCACTCCCAGCCGTAGCCTTAGCAGCACTCGGGCTCTTAGAGTCATCCTTCTGGTCCCCGGAACAGGAGCCGTGTTCTCCTGAGGGGCTGCTGGGAGTGGAACTGCGGACTCGGCGCAGCCCCTGCCGTGGTCCCCAGAACCGGGAGGTGCCAGTGAGTCCCCGACCCTCTGCCTACCCTCCCCTTCCCCTGGAGAGCCCGAAGCACTCAGTGACTCATTCCTTGTTCAGGCGCTCGCTGTGGGCAGTGACCGTGACGAGGACGCGTGGAGGGAATCCGCCTGCTCTTAGCGAGTCCCGTGGCAGAGAAAGTAGAGTCCCAGCACTGGGCGGGTTCTCGCAGTGTCTTCCTTAAGGTTACTCGAAGGAAGGGAAGAAAATAAAACTTCAAAAGAAAGTTACTGTGGGCCAGCCTGCGGCCCAGTGGCTAAGGGCCGAATCCCACATGGCTGCTGACAGTTCTGTCCCAACCCAGAGACTTGAAAAACACGCTGGGCATGTGTGCAGGCGTGTCCTGAACCCCGGCTGGGTGGAGAAAGGATTGTGGTTGGCCAACTCCACTGGGGCAGGGTGCTTTCCTCACTCACTCTCTCACGTTAGCAAGCACATGCACCCTTTGAGAAGAAAATTTCAAAGAAAAATTTAAATGTCGTATTTAAATCGTAAGACTATTTCAGATGTCAAATGGTATCTGCCTGAGTTTGTTTCATTGAGGCTGTGGCATGTGAGTTCATATACAGGGTACTAGAAAATAATAGTGCTGTTTCTGATGCTGGAATTTATGGGTAAGGCTGCCCTGAAAGCAAAATTTATAACTGAGCTAAGGAAAAACACGAAATGTTAGAACATGTGTAAATACAGACATTTCTTCAGAGCTGGGGCTTTCCTGTCACTAGCTGGCTACGGTACAGCAGAGTGATCAAGTGAAATGCATTTCTGAGATCGTCACTGCCTTAAATGCGATTGTGGTAGAGACGTGAAATCGTAGCCATAAAGCAGTTACTTTTAGTGACTTGGCGTTCTATCAGAATGAACAGTAAAGTACGTGAAGCCCCGTGGTAATGTTAGGGTGGACAGTGATAGAAAAAGAAACGCCTTCCCATGAGCAGAAGCTATGAGGTCGTCGGGAGTCATGGTGTGTTTTTCTGTGCTGTTCTATACCAAAGTGAGTCTTGACTTTAACGACCAGCACTTAACGGTAACGAGACTGTGTAGCTCTTCGCGTGTACTCTGCATGGAAAGAAGACTCGGGCTAGCCCTGCGGGCTAGTGGTTAAGGGAGCCAGCTCTCACACAGCTGTCTGGGCTGCGTGGGTCCTGGTCCCGGCAGCTTGAAAACCACAGTAGGCACGTGTGCTCACATGCCCAGATCCCAGCAAGATGGAGATGTGGAAGGAGGATTGTGGCCAGGCCACATCCCCTGGGAGGTTCTCTCTCCTCCTCTCTCTTTCTCTGTTTCTCTCTGACAAGTGCACCCACCGTCTGGCAGTGGGGAGGAGGGGATTTTATTACTAAAACTCCAGCATGAAAATTAATTTATTATGGGGCCAGCAGGTGGCATGGTGGTGAAAGCACTGGATCCCACATGGCCAGCCGTGGTTTGAGTCCTGGACCTAATGACTTACTTTCTCACTTTCCCTCTCTTTCTCTTGGTCTCACTCTAGCTCTGTCCCTTGCTAATCACATTTAGATAAATAAATAAATAAAGTTAAATAAAATAATTCTTTAAAAAATTTATTTATTGTGAATTCTTAGCCTCCAGCTTCTTTTTTTCCCCACTCACATTTTTTAAAACATTTACTAGAAGGAGCATGCATTCTCCAGGTATAGACAGAGAGACTGAAAAGCCCCCAGGAGGGATGGCTGTGCTCCAGTCCTCCGTCCTCCTCCTGGGATCTGGGGCACACAGGCACATGCTCCCAGTGTGTTTTTCAAGCCACCAGGTCAAGACTTGAACCGCAGAGTCAGCCATGTGGAATCCAACCACTGAACTGCCATGCCACTGGCTGGCCCTGTATTTTCTTCTTCTTTTTTTAAAGAATTACTTTATTTAACTATTATTTATTTTAATTTGTTCAGAGAGGGGGAAAGAGAGAGAGAGAGAAAGTGAGAAAGCAAGCTGCCAGGGCCAGGACTTGAACTGCGGTCGGCCATGTGGGAGTCCAGCCCCCTCAAGCACCACGCCACCTGCCAGCCCCTGACCCTATATTTTTAATAGATGGAACTTTTCTAAAATAAAATGCCAGATTTTGCTGGCTCGCTCGGTGGTCTGTGCTGCGGCTTGGCTTGAATCGTTAATGAGAGGTCTCTTTGTAGCGATCTGCTCAGACCTTCAGGTCCCTCCTCAGCAGCTTCTCACAACCTCGCTGGACCCTCTGCCCACCAGAGGGTGAATGGGGGTTTTCTGAAAGCGTGGGGTAGCTAAGGTAGCACGGACTTCATTTTCCCTCTAGTGTAAGGGTCAGCTCCTGTTCCCTTGAAGGGCCAGATAGTAAATCCTTCAGATTTGCAGGCCGTGTGATCTGTGCCTTACCTGCTCACCTGTGCTGTTCTGGTGTGGAGGCAGCCAATATGGGAGGGGGGGCATCACCAAACTTGTAGAAAATCAAGTCAAATGGGATTATTAGTTTACTCTGATGCTCAACGTGGCAGTACGTGCAGCTCTTTCATAGCCTGCCTCTTCCTGGCGCCTTCTGCAGGCCTCGTCCTGTGTGCTGCGTAGGTACGGCTGAAGTCCAACGCAGCCTGATTTGCAAGACTGGCAGCTGGCCCACAGGCCAGGCCCGGTGGTCATGCTCGAGAGCCGGACCTTGCCCTGCCCAGGCAGGTTCGCTGTCACGTGTGAGGACACCATGCTGCCACTCCTGTCCCTCCCTGGGCTGTGCTGCCCTGGGTCGTAGAAACCTGCAGTTGGGAGGAGCCCTCCAGGAGACAGACTCAAAGGCTGCCCATGCTGAGGCCCCAGTGCGTGAGAGAGACCAGTGGGTCCTCGCACGTGTGGGAGAGGGGTTTCTAGCTGTGCCGCTGTCTGTCTTACCAGGTACAGATGAAGTTTTTGGTAGAACAGATGAGGCGGCCAGACTTCATGGATGCCCTCCAGGGCTTTCTGTCTCCTCTCAACCCCGCTCATCAGCTGGGAAACCTCAGGTGAGCTGCTTCAGGGGCTCTGCTGGTGTACCCGGCTGGGTGCCTTCCTGGGTGAGGTCCGGCAGAGGTCGAAGCGTAATTGTAATCAGGATGGCAGTGCTGTCTCCCGCCAGCGTCCTGCTCTGCAAAGTGCAGTGGAGAAGCACCTGCTCAGAGCTGCGTGACTCAGAATGAGTTCTCCTGCTTTCCTATTAGACTTTAAACCTTCCTGTGGCCACAGTTGCTGGGTCATAGGAGAAGAGACGGGATGCAAAATCTATAAAACTAATGTGTTTCTATATTTCTTGAAAATTATATACTATTATATTTAAAAAGTTAAAGGTTAGTGTTTTCTTTCTTTATATTCCCTAGAAGTGAATTCATAAATAAAAATTGAGGAGAAAGCTTAAAATGTTTGTAATACTTCAAAATATTATGCTATGTATAGAATTTTTAAATTTGAGGGTTAAAAGAATAACAAAACTAAGGTACTTGATAAACTCTCATACTGTTTTCAAAGGCTTGAAGAGTGTCGAATCATGTCCTCGGCAAAAAGGCCTCTGTGGCTGAACTGGGAGAACCCAGACATCATGTCCGAGTTACTGTTTCAGAACAACGAGATCATCTTTAAAAATGGGGATGGTAAGGAGGAGCACTAGCGAGCTTGAGGTGCGCGCATTCAGCCCCCTCTTTACACACGGTGTTCATGAACTCCGAGAACCATTGAACCATTTAAGGAACACACAGGTGATAAAATGTATCAGACGAATGTCTCCCCTCTGCAGTACACACATGTGGTTATTGGAAAGAAGTGCGGCGTGGCATCAGTCCTGAAGTCAGCTTCTGACTGTCATATGCTTCTCTGTCATTTGTGTGGACGGTGTAACACCCATTCATTCCATAAATACCCCATTGGTGGGTGCTGAGTTTGTAGCGTAAGTAAAAGAAATCCCTACCCTCCTGAAGCTTAGATTCCATCAGGAGAAAGAGAAGCATTAAACGGTTACAGCAATGAGATTTCACCCACGGCACAGGGAAAGCAGAGTCCACTCTCAGACCGTATAAAAGAAGGTCCAGGTGTATTTGGGGGCAGGCTGTCGGGCGAGACGGGATATCAGCAGCAGGTTCGGGGGGTGGCGTGTCGGCCGTGCGAGCTCTTTGATCTCGGTGTTTTGATGCGCACGTCCAGGGCTGGCTGTGGTGTGGGTCTCAGAACCAGCAGCTGGCCAACACGCCAGACACACGTGTGCACCTGAATCCCGACAGGATGGAGAGGTGGTGGAAAAGGGACCATGACCGCCCCATGGCGGGCGTGGGGCTGCATTCACGTGCTGTCTCTGGTGAGCACATGCGCTCTGGCAACAAGCTTTTAAAAAGACATATATTGAAATCTAGTGATTCAGAAACATACTTTAAATGTTTTAACTTAATATTTTGTGAAATTAGGAGTTCACAAAAAAGTTCACTTCTCCTGTACTACACAGATAAATTTATGCACATACTTTAGAAATGGGTTAATCAGAATATTGCTTTCTTGTCAGTTACTTTGAAGAATAAACACAGCTTTATTTGTGTTCCGTTCAAAGACAGCATGAGCCACAGATTTGCACTGTGGGCACTGAGTGGTGATACGTATGTTTAATTTCAGATTTACGGCAAGATATGCTGACACTTCAGATTATCCGCATCATGGAAAACATCTGGCAAAGTCAAGGTCTTGATCTTCGGTAGGTAAACAGCAAGGCAACTCGTGTTGAAAGTCCTCCCGACAAAGTAAACTGCTAGTAAATACTAGTTACAGAGGCATAGCTCCATTAAGAATAGCTGCCGCGGGAGTTAGCAGTGGCGAGGGTGCGTTGGGACTTCGTCTGTCTTCCTCCTACGTGATGTACAAAAGAAAGGAGACCCAGCCAGGCAGGCAGAGCCAGCTCTAAAAAGCTAGTCCAGACTGCAGCGCTGGAGTGTTGCCATGGAGACACAAAGGTCATTCAGAAATTGGTAGTTTCAAAGAATGCTTCAGGACTGGCAGATGGCATAGTGGCTATGTCACTGGGCTCCCACATAGCAGGCCGCGGTATGAGCCCCAGACCCACTGGCTTGAAACTCACGCTGGGCGTGTGCATGCGTACCCAAAATCCCGAGAGGAGACTAGAGAAGGGATTGAGGTGTGGCCATCCCCCCTGGGGGGTGATTTCTCGCTTTCTGTCTCTCTGTCTCTCAGGCGAGTGCACACGGCCTATAGGAAAAGTCTCTCTTAAATAAATACATACATACATAGTAGCTAATATATGCAGATGTATCATTTACAAATAGTAGTACCCTTTTATTGCCAAAAAAAAAAAAAAGCGGCTGTTTCTAGCACACTGCCGACCACACAGGGTTAAGTTGTCACTTCCAAGTCCTTGACTCCTGATTGTGCACTTCCTGTCACTTTCAAAGATACTGACTGTCACCTGGCCAGGTTTCCTTCTCTGCTATGATTTCCTGTGTGGTGAGAGATTCGCAGGCAGTCGCCCCGGGTTAGGGAGCCCGGGAGCCTCTACCCGCACCTGGTCAGGACAGCCTCGCTGTGAATCAGCCTCATGCTGGAGCGTCAGGCGTTAAGTGGGCCATTAGAAACGTAGTGGGTTTTCAGCTTCGTGTTTTCTAAATTCTTTTAACTCAAGTGAGCTTTAGTGAAAGGTTTTACTTGAAGTTTAATTTTAAGTAAAAATGCTTAATTTGACTAACATCATGGCAGCTTTTTCATTCAGACGTGGCAAAGGTGTAGCTCTGAGTTAGACTTTCCAACTGCATGTGCCGTTTACCTAGCAGGTGTACAGAGCAGCGTGACTCTTGAGTCGGTGCAGGGATGAGCATACAGCTTCACGAAGCTTCCCTGCTTTCCAAGAGAGGCAGAGCAAGATTTGGAACGAGAAATAGCCAACGGGGTAGGAGTACCAGAATGAGAGATTCGCAGGACCCAGAGGGGAGGGGAGGCATGGCAGCTTCAGGGCCAGGCGTGCGGGGTGGCGGTCCGCGGGTCGGAAGCAGGGAGAGGTCCTTGCTTGATGGCCCGGCCAGCGGTGGCAAGAGCCAGCTCAGCAAAGCAGTGTCAGAGAACCCAGGCCCTGTGAGATTAAGCAAAAAGATGGAAACGAGTGTGGACCATTTGAGGGACTTGAGTAAAGACCCAGAGTCCATAGTCTGAGTGCTTACCGCCAGGCTGACTGTCCACATCTCCAACCTGCACCCCACTTCCTGCCTAGTACTCCCTGTGGTAAGTCCTCTGCATCCATGGTGCTTCTGTCAAGCAGAAACAGTTCTGAGATTGAGTTGTGAGTTGAACTAGCTGCATTTTTCAGAAATACTGTTTTTACTGGGCCCAGCAGATGGCGTGGTAGTTAAGGGCACTGGACTCCCACATGGCCAACCACGGGTTGAATCCTGGACCTGGCAGCTTGCTTTCTCACTTTCTCTCTCTCTCACTCTCTGTCCCTCTCTGGTCAAATGAAAATAAATAAATAAAGTTTTTTAAAATCCTTTTTAAAAAAAGGAAATACTATTTTTACTTTAAAAATAAGTAATAAGCTACAGTCATTCAGACATGGCACTTGGCAGGCAGTTTCTTGAGGATGGACACATTGCCCACACTGTCACCGAAACAACCGGGGCAATATTTGTTGCCGGTGACAACATTTGAGCTTTCAAGCAAAAAAGGGAATTTTGAAAATCTTGCGTCTGCCACTGAAGATCACAAGTTCTCCAAACTTAAGAGACTTTTCTGATGAGGTGGTGGTAATGGTCACCATTGTCGCTTTTTAGTGCGGTGTGAGGCAAAGTGTCGGTGTTTGGAAGACGTGCACGATTCAGTGCACTCACTCCTCCCAGTGCTCAGTGCAGGCCCTGCACAGCCCTGCGTGGCAGATAGCCCGTTCTCAGGCAAGACAGACTGGGTTTTGGCTTTTTCGTTTGTTTTCTTTTTTAATGAGACAGAGAAGCAGCAGAAGGGGCTGGGGTGGTGTTTTTCCAGGCCCGCACCCTCACAGCCGGACTCAGGTCAGTCTGTGAAGTATGACGGCTTGGCGGCACTGTGTCAGGGTCCATACCTGCCCGCACCCTCACAGCCGGACTGGCAGGTCAATCTCGGCGTGGTGGCATGACAGATACGACAATGCGGCATCAGATTCCATAGTGCAGCTTGCGAGACTATTTCTTGTCACGTTTTGGAATCCTATCAAAGAAAACGATCTGAGAGACTGCTAAGTGCTCCTTTTCTTTTCGGCTACCTCTCTGTGCAAGGCCAGCTTTTCTTCATGTATTTCAGTTAAAACATTGCATTAGATTGAATACTGAAGCATATATGAAAATCCAGTTGGGCACTATGAAGCCAGACATTTAAATAATTTGAAAAGCGGTGTCATTTTTCTCCCGGAATTTTTTTAAAAATGCAGTCATCCCTCTGTGTCTGTGAGGGATTAGTTTCGGAACCTCCCTCAGATACCAGCACCTACAGACGCGTTATACAAAGTGGCATCGCGTTTGCATGTAACTTACACGTATCTTCTGTGTACTTTAAGTTACACCCAGACTCTTCATGATAACGCACATGAGGCACAGCCACCTAGCCCGTCCGCTGTGCACGGCACACGGCGGCAGGGACACCCTCAGTCCACAGGGCAGAGGCCCCCGCAGCAGAGGGCTGGCCACAGTGGGCCGGCGTGTCTGGTCTTGCTTCCCAGTCTTGGTCCCTGCAGGCTGACATACTGAATGGGAATCCAGAGACAAATCATTCCTCAGTTCTGAATTGTGTACATCCCGTGGAATACCGAACCACACGCTGCCCCTGAGCAGGGCCCGCCCTCGGCCAGAGGGCGTATGCCGCGTGGACAGGGATATGCCTCTCAGTGGCACCCGTACGTGGCTGTCCTGGGGTCAGGTCAAGGACACACAGCACAGCCCCAGTTCAGTACTGCCCACGCTCCAGCCGTATGCTGGGATCTTCAGACACATCCCTGTGGATAAAAGGGGACTGCAGGTGTCCTGTTTCACAGAAGATATTATTTATATTAATACATGATGGTGGGACCAGCAGGTGGCTGGTGGTTAAGGTGCTGGACACTCCCACGTGGCCAACCAGGGTTTGAGTCCTGAATCTGGTGGCTTGCTTTCTCACTTCCTCTTTCTCGCATTCTCACCTTCTGTCTCTCTCTGGTCAAACTAAAAAAAATAAACAAACAAATGAATAAAACAAAATAAATAATTATAAAAAAAATGATGGTTTGTGATTTAATAATACTTTATTTTTATTTTTGAAGTCATAAATACCTGCGACATTTTAACTGCAGTGATAATTTCCTTCATGCTTTTATGACATACAGGTAAGTGCTTTCCTAACCGAAGGTTATAGTAAAGGGCAGGTTTTTCTAGGAATGTTTATCACACTGTAAGAAGGAAATGGGAAGTCAGGGTAAGACAGTAAAGGTGGTGCCTGACAAGCTCGCAAGGGGACTGTTCACGCCACGCCTATTAGACCCTTGCGCTTCGGTTCAGCCGTCTAAGGGTATGTGTCTCGCTCCTCTTTCAGAATGTTACCCTACGGCTGTCTGTCTATCGGTGACTGTGTGGGGCTCATCGAGGTGGTGAGAAACTCTCACACCATCATGCAGATCCAGTGCAAAGGCGGCCTGAAGGGGGCGCTGCAGTTCAACAGCCACACGCTGCACCAGTGGCTCAAAGACAAGAACAAAGGGGAGATGTGAGTCCTCCTCTTCTGTGCTGACTGAGCTCCCTGGAGGGGGCCTCGTAGGAGTGTGTGTGGGCTCCTCCTGGCCGGGCCAGGGACCGCAGTTGTGTTTACTTGGGGAAGAATGGTCAGGAATGGCCCCACAGCCTCACGGTAAGGGGCCAGACCCCAGTCTGCGGTCAAATCCTGGTTCCTCGAGAGGCAAGCCAGGCGTGTGTGCGTGCCTGAAATCCAGCAGGATGGAGAAACAGAGAAGGGATTGGAGCGTGACTGTGCCCCACCGGGACTGCATTTTCTCTTTCTCCCTCCCTCTGGTGAACACACACGCCCTCTGACCCCCCAAAAAAAGTATATGCTCAACTTTTGAAATATTTGTGATTATAATGTTTAAATGACTAGAATTGCTTATAACTTGGTAAAATCCTGCACATTCTCATGTGTCTAAAGCATGTTCTTACTGCTTACTTTTCTTTAGAAAAGTTATTATTGCACATTCAGAACCGTTGTGGACCAGCTGCTGGTGTGGCGGGCACGGGCAGCCGGAGCCCCTGGGGCTGGGTCCTAGCAAAACGTGCTGGCTGTGCGTGCATTCCCAAATCGCGCCAGCACAGGTCAAAGGGACGGGCACGGACCTCCACCTGGGGGTGCAGCCTTCCTTCTCCCCTCTCCATCCCCTCTGTCTGCAGCGGGGCGTGCTCCCTAAGCAGATTTTAAAAATAATTTTAATTCCTTGTTAAAATTATCAGGAAAAATTAATTTTACAATATTAGTATTTTTTCACCATGGGAAGAATTATGCTTTAGCAGGAGTCATCTAGAAATTTCCTTAAGAAATCTTGAAAACTTCAGAACCTCAAATTTTCTCAGCCCTTTGAACATAGCCGCTCCCTTCCCTGTCAGTGTTCTGTTCCGTGTGTAAGGGGACGCTTCACCGTCTTGTACCCGCGTGGTCTGCTCACGAACTGCCTCTGCTCCTTAGATACGATGCCGCCATTGACCTGTTCACACGCTCGTGCGCGGGGTACTGCGTCGCCACCTTCATCCTGGGGATTGGGGACCGCCACAACAGCAACATCATGGTGAAGGACGACGGGCAGGTAATGCCCTCCCTCTGCGCGTCCCTGAGTCTGCCAGCTGCTGTGTTGACAGGGAGGTATCTGCCCGTGTCACACGGTAACATGATTTCTTATTTTTGAAAGTTGTTTCATATAGATTTTGGACACTTTTTGGATCACAAGAAGAAAAAGTTTGGTTATAAACGAGAACGTGTGCCATTTGTATTGACACAAGATTTCTTAATAGTGATCAGCAAAGGAGCCCAAGAATGCACAAAAACAAGAGAATTTGAGAGGTAAGCTCAGAAACCAGAAGTACGAGGTAAAGAATTCTTGCTGTCCGGTGATAAGCAGCTGACATTCTCAAGCAATTTAAAAGCGTGCGTGCAGCCCTGTATGGTGGTACACACCTGTGAACTCAGCTGCCCCGGGGCTGGGCAGGAGGGCCAGGTTGAAGGGCAGCCTGGCTACAGGGTGAGGCTCTGCCCCCCACAACCACCTGTAAACTAGTATCAGCAGACTAAATTACAGCCTTTTTTTTTTTTTTTTTGGAGAGATTTTCGCTATAGGGCACGTGCGCTCGCCAGACAAACAGAGAGAGACATTAGAGACAGAAAGCGAGAAATCACCCCCCAGGGGGGATGGTCACGCCTTAATCCCTTCTCCTCCATTCTCCTCTCGGGATCTTGGGCACGCACGAACATGCCCCAGCATGAGTTTTAAGCCACCGGGTCCGGGACGCGAACCACGGTCGACTACGTGGGAGTCCAGTGATATAGCCATTACGCTAACTGCTGGTTCCCTACTAAATTACATCTTTAGCAACGACTAGAGATTTTAATGTTTTTGTTTGTGTGAGGCTATGAAGGAAAAATGGGAAAATCAATTTAATTTATTGAGCTAATTAAGCCCTAAAAAGAAAGTAATAGTTCACCTCATAAGCAGTAAAAGCTTTCGTCTATGCTGCTTGAATGATTGGACCCCACCATCATTACGTTGACAGATTTCAAACTATAGTGCTCAGAACAATACTCGTTAGTCATGTAACTTGAGGAAAGTTATTAACACCATGTTTATTCATAATTTTTCTTACCACCTTAAAGTAATCATTAGTCTATCTTAGACCTTAAAGTACTTGAAAATGAAAACTTCTACAGGACTTTGTTTCATCTATCCCTCGATCAGGTGTCAGGAGAGTCAGGACGTATCTTTCTATGCAGAATGCCTCCTGACTTTCCGATGACTCCGCGGCTCTGTCCTCCTCCTGATCTCAGCCCTAAAGCCTTGTGTATGAGCCAGCTCACACGTTTAAGAAGCACTTGGTAAATGCCTAACGTGTCAGGCCTGTTCTCGGTGCTGATGATAAAGCAGTAAACAAAATCCGTACCCTTGCAAAGTTTTCGTTCTGGTTGGGTAAGGGGACAGAAGGGCTGGCAGAAGAGTGTGCGTTGAACCGCTTCACTTGGGCCCACACTCCGACTGCCACGTGAGCGGGGACCGGACCACCAGCACCACTCGCTGCACACTGACCGGGCACTCACTTGCAGGTTCCAGGAGATGTGTTACAAGGCTTACCTTGCCATCCGGCAGCACGCCAACCTCTTCATCAACCTTTTCTCCATGATGCTCGGCTCTGGGATGCCGGAACTGCAGTCTTTTGATGACATTGCATACATTCGAAAGACCCTGGCCTTGGATAAAACTGAGCAGGAGGCTCTGGAGTACTTCATGAAGCAGATGAATGATGCACACCACGGCGGCTGGACGACAAAGATGGACTGGATCTTCCACACCATTAAGCAGCACGCGTTGAACTGAAAGCTCGCCCTCTCGATTCTACGTTGCACTGTTAACTGTCCAACAGGCAAAGACTGATTGCATAGGAATTGCACAATCCATGAACAGCATTAGACTACAGCAAGAACAGGAATGAAATACTATATAATTTAAATAATGTAAATGCAAACAGGGTTTGATAGCACTAAACTAGTTCATTTCAAAATTAAGCTTTAGAATAATGCGCAATTTCATGTTATGCCTTAAGTCCAAAAAGGTAAACTTTGAAGATTGTTTGTATCCTTTTTTAAAAAATAAAAACAAAAATTCCCAAAATATATAGAAATGATGGAGAAGGAAAAGGAATGAGGTTCTCTTGTCCTGCAGATGTTCTGTTTTGAAATGTGGACACAGAGGACAGTATGAATTAGACCCTAGGAGACCAGAGCTTATGTTAAAGAATGAGATCGGAAAAGAATGAGAGGTTCTGACCTTTCCACCACTGTTCAATTCTTAGCTTGAAGTGGGTTATTGGCTCCTTGTTTAATGAAGAGCAATGCTTGGGGTGGAAGGGACTCTTGAGATTTCACCAGAGACATTTTCTTTTTAATAAATCAAACCTTTGTGACAATTTGGGGTCTTATCTGCACAGTTTTGGAAGCAGTCACAAATGAGACCTGTTCTAACGTGGCGTTTTAGTTTTTGTTTTCTGGACAGTATTTACAAGGATCTGATTCTTATTTCCTAGGGAAATTCTGGGCTCCCACAAAGTAAAAACAAACAAAAAAGTATATTGTAGAAAAAGAAGGAGCAGGAATAGTCCTTGTTCCAAAATTGTACAGTATTCATCTTAAATTGATTTTTTCCTTCTTTTGCAATCGAACTGAATACATTTTTCATGCATGTTTTCCAGAGAATAGAAGTGAGTATTAATGTTATTAAAAAGATTATTTTTTTTATTAAAGGCTATTTATACTATAGAAACTATCATTAATATATATTCTTTATTTACATGATCTGCCCACAGCCGTGCGCTGTTTTGCACCCAGACGTACTTTCCGTAGCAGCGTGGACAGCTTTTCCCCTTGGTCTGTAGTGGAGGCTCGGGCACCATCCGTGTACACGGAGCCAGCGTGTACTGCTTGAGGAAAACAGGTCAAACTGCGTCCCCTTTCATTTCTTTTTCTGTTTTCACATGAATTCCCACCTTCTATCCCTTTTTATGTTGAGAATGGCTCAATCATATGAAATTCACACAGTTTAGATTATCTTGTGGGTTACTTAAACCCCGCTACTGAATTATGCTCATGAATAATACTTTATAATACGAGGGAATAGAAACCATGAACTTTTTATCTTTTTAAGCTAGTTATCCATATCTCAGTGGTAAAAGTAGGACATTAAACCGTTTTAAGATCATGTCCCATTTCCAGGTAGTCAGGGCTTACTCTCCAACTTCATTAATCTCATTCAAGCACAGGACACGTTCTTAAACATCTGAAAATTAACCCAAGATGCCGTGACTAATACTAGTCGTCATTCTAAAAGCCGATATTTTAACTCGTTTTTGAAATGAGTGATTAATGTCCTAGGAAATAGCTTTAGCAAATGTCAAGGTGCCACACCGAGAAAAGTGCAATAATTTACTGACAGTTTTCTAGAGTAGGCATGTTGTTGGAAAGCAGCTGTTCAGGGTGCACATTGTGTACTCCAGTAAAACATCACTTTAAAATCCTCGTTTATGAGAGCGGGCGCCTGTAGTAGAAGTGTGAATAGTGAACAAGGGACTCTAATACAAATACTCAGTACCGGCCTAGAACCCTTAGAGGGTGTGATTACAGGAGACCTCGGTACTTGACTAAAGCGTGTATATACTATTGCCAATAAGAAAGATAACCTGAGGCATAGGGGAACTTATTTCTGTGAATGTTTTGGAATTGTTAAACAATTTAAACTCTGTTTTAAGCAGGAAATCAGATTCTTTTGCAGGTATAGATTTCGTAACTGTCAGAGCGTCG